AGAGAAAATAAAAACTACCCCTGAAAAAAAAAAAAGTTTTTTTTTGTTAATTGCCTCTTCTTTTAAGTTTAAAAAATAAAACGAGCTTAAAAGAAAACTCTTATGTCGTTTATTGATTTTCCTTTTTTAATCATAAAATTATTAATTAAAATATAGTTTTTTTTAAAAAAAAAAAAGGTTTTTTGATTTCTTTATTTATTTAAATTAATATTTGGAAATCTCATTTCTTTTTTTGACTCAAGGCATTTTTATAACAATAAAGAATAAAATTCTCATTTCTAGTCTCTTTAATAAAAATATGAAATTGTTTGAGAAGTTATTCTTCTAAAGCATAAATGTTTATTTTAAAATATATATATCAGTTCATATATTTTTAAACGAAATATTTACAACTAGATTGTTAAAACAAGATTTTAAATCATTTTGTTTAAAAGATAAACATTTTCTTTTAATGTCAGAAATTTCAAAAATTAAAAATTTCAACAAATTTAACTAGCATCGGTGGTTTAATGGTAAAATTCAACGTTGCCATCGTTGAGCTCCGGGTTCGATTCCCGGCCGATGCAAATTTGTTAATTTTTTTGCTTTTTTCTCATATATAAAGTCACGTGATTTAGCAAAAAAGTAGTATTAAATGTTGGAATTTAAAAATTTCAAGATGTGGGGTTCGAACCCACGCGTACGTCTGTACATTAGAACCTCATTCTAACGCCTTAACCTCTCGGCCAATCTTGATTATAAAACAGTAACATCCGATATTTTACTCAAATTTCAATTTAAGTAAATAAAATGTTTTAAAGGATTTTATTTTGTTTAAATGATTTAAACATCTTAGTTAATTAAAGTTTTAAATTATTTTCTAAAATTACAGTATAATATTTTTTAACAATTTATTGTCAAAGAGTTTGTTTTGTTTTTACTTTTAGTTAATTTTCTAAAAATATATAGTAATATTTTTTTAATTGTTTACAAAAATCACATGATTTTTTGTAATTCTTTGTTTACAATTGACATATATTGCCTGTAAATTTTTTATTTACTTAAACAAATCATTATTAAAATACTAACAAAATACAATAATTATTAATCTATATTTTTGTAAACAAATATTTATATATTTTAAACAAAATAAAAAAGAATGCTTCAATTAAAAAAAAAAAACACTCTTTTTCCTTTTACATATTTATGTACAATATAAGAAGAATTAAAAAAAATATAATTAACTTACCAAAAAAAGTAAAAAAAGACTCCCCCGCCGAGAGTCGAACTCGGGTCTACGCTGTGAAAGAGCGCCGTGATAGCCGTTACACTACGAGGGATTGTTAAATCTAATATACTAATATTTATGGACATCTCAGCTTATAAAATTAACAGCTATTTTTAAATTTTAATGGTAAATTATTTTATACCTAATTAATCAAGCATTAGTAACTTAAGGAGATTTAATTTAAATAAACAATAGGTAGATATTTGATTTATAGTTTTGTATGTTATTATTAATAGCATATTGTAGCAAAACTAGTTTAAAATTGAAAAGTTGTTTAAAGATGGTTCAAAACGTAATTAGATTTGGCTAAACAAAGATTTCCTAAGGTACTTTTAATAAGAATAAAATTTTTACTAAAGATAGATAAATAAAAAAAAAAAATAAAACTACAAAAATTTAACTTTTATTTCATAATATCATAATGATTTCATACAAATTTTATTCTTTTTTTGGGTTTAATTATTTACTAATAAATAATATTTTATCAGTATACAGTCACATGATACAATATGGGAGATTTTTTTTTTTTTTGGGTGAAGAAAAAAAAGAAAATGCCAACAAATAAATGATTTTGATTTTTTTTTTTTCTTTCTTAAAATAAAACAAAATTATATAAATAATAATTAAAACAAAATAGACAAACCAAACCAAACTAAAAACTTTAAAATATTTTATAATTTTAAACACAGAACTTATTAAAGACAAAACAAAAAAGACATTATGTTAGAAAAATCTTCTGGAATTACTGCACAAAAAAGATTGCTAAAAGAATATAAACAATTACTTAAAGATTCCCCTGAGGGATTAGTAGCTTATCCAACAACAGATCATAATATATTTGAATGGACATGTTTTATTGAAGGACCTGAGGATACTGTGTATGAAAATGGTGTTTATGTTGCAACACTTAAGTTTCCAAAGGATTATCCATTATCACCACCAGAGATGAGATTTGTTCCAGGTACTATACTACATCCTAACGTTTATAA